TGACATTCCCCGTGTTCGACTAAACCTTTACAAAAATTCAATGTATTTCAAAGGCCCTAAAATCTGGAACACCCTACCTGAAAACTCTAGAACTGCAGACACATTCATCACTTTCAAAACTACAGTTAGAAAACATCTTATCTCCCTGATCCACCCCGACAACTAACTGCAAGATAACCACCTGGTGGTTCACAATTACACTCACTCACCCACTGACTATAAACCCAGAAATACTAATCTTAATCTTAAAATAATAAATCTTAATGAGTCATAAGTTTGCCTATGATACTCCAATATAGACACTTTGTATTGTGCCAAAACAAAAGCATTCACATTGCTAAACTCACAAATTATGATGTAGTCACTTAGCCTTAATACCATAATCTGTAAAGATTTAATGTTAAGAATTAATCTAAGTCTGCTCGAAATGCCTAGCCAGGCTAGGTGTCCTAGTGGCCCCTCTGTAAGTAGTATTTTATAACATGTAAACCACACAATACCCAAAACCTGTAAACCTCACATTGTAACCCTTATAGAGAATAAACTTGAACTGAATTGAATTGAATCAATCATTGAGCTGACTATTTTGTCAACCTGATGAGGAAAACCTGTTGCTACCCTGCATCGACTCCAGATCAAATTACCAAGTTGTTCTTATTAAGCTCACACAGCTGTCACAACTGAATCAACATTTCAATATTTTTTTTTTTTTCAAAACCAATGTAGTATTTTGACCAAGCTTACTTGGGAGAATCATTATTTCAAGCTTAATATTCGTAAAACCAGTGTATCACTGTGACCTAGCTTATTGTGAATTGTGTATCTCTTATTGTGTATTATTTCAGCAATATTACACTGTGTCATAATTTTTATTTGTAATACAGTGGACCCTCGGTTATCGGCCGTAATCCATTCCAGAAGGTCAACCTAAAACCGAAATGGCCTAAAACCGAAATAATATTTCTCATAAGAATTAATGTAAATACAATTAATCCATTCCAGACACCCAAAGATATTAACAAAAAATAATTTATGTAAAGATTATTTACAGTTTTACATACACAAAACAATGATAACTAAATAAAATAAATACATGAACAATTAAATCACTATTACATACCTTTATTGAAGACTCTTGTTGGCTTATGGAAGATAGGAAGGAGGAGAGAGGGAGTTGGGGTTATTGTTTGGAAGGGGAATCCCCCTCCATAATACCTTCAGGTAACAAGTCCCTCTCTGAGATTATTTCCCTTCTTTGCCTTTTAATGCCACAAGGACCAGCTTGAGAGTCACTGGACCCCTGTCAACACAAAAAATCTGTCCAGAGTGGCCTTTTTCTGGCATCTCTTTATGATTTCCCTGAAGTGGGACAAGGTTTTGTCACTGAACATGTTGCAGATATGGCTTGTTTCAGCTTGGTCAAGGTGATATTTCTCCCCAAAAGCTTGCACCCTACTCCACATTGCACAAATCTCCTTAATCTCTGAAGAAGGCACCTCCTTCCCTCCCTCTTCCTTCTCTGAAGCAAGTTCGTCAGCTGTGGTCTGTTGCTGTTCCAGATGAAGCTCTTGTAGCTCTTTAGTGGTTAGCTCTTCACTGTGGTCCTCCACCAATTCTTCCATATCCTTGCCACTAACCTGCAACCCCATGGACTTCCCCAAAGGTGCAATAGATTTCACAACAGGTGTAGGATCCTCAGGGTCAGCTCCAAACCCTTCAAAATCCCTCTCTTGGACACAATCTGGCCACAATTTTCTCCAAGCAGAGTTAAAAGTCCTGGAAATCACTCCCTGCCAAGCCTTACCTATAAGGCTTATGCATTGAAGGATATTGAAGTGATTCCTCCAGAACTCTGTGAGGGTCAAGTCAGTGTCCAAGGTCACTTCAAAGCACCTTCGAAACACTGCTTTGGTGTAGAGTTTTTTGAGGTTAGAAATGACCTGCTGGTCCATGGGCTGGATGAGAGGAGTGGTGTTAGGAGGCAAGAACTTTACTGTTATAAAATGGAAGTCCTAAACAATTGGTCTTCCAAGTCTGGAGGATGAGCAGGAGCATTGTCCAGTACCAGGAGGCATTTGAGTGTCAATTTATATTCCAGGACGTATTTTCTCAGACTGGGGCCAAACACATCATTGACCCACTCTTTGCATATGACCCATGATTATTATTAGCTTTCCATATCACACACAATCTATTCTTGACATTGTTTTTCTTGAACACACTGGGATTTTCAGAGTGATACACCAGTAAAGGCTTCACTTTGAAATCCCCACTAGCATTAGCACAGAACAAAAGGGTAAGCCTGTCTTTCATAGGCTTGTGTCCTGCCAGTGCCTTTTCTTCCTGCATAATGTAGATCCTCTTTGGCATTTTCTTCTAAAAGAGGCCTGTTTTGTCACAATTGAACACTTGTTGAGGGAGGAATCCTTCAGCCTCTACGTACCCCTTGAATACACAAATAGCCCGCACATAGAAGAGAGGAGCTTACGACGATGTTTTGGTCCGACTTGGACCATTTACAAAGTCACACTAACTAGAGGAGGAGGAGGAGAAGAAGGAGGAGGAGAAGGAGGAGGAGGAGAAGAAGGAGGAGGAGGAGGAGAAGAAGGAGGAGGAGGAGGAGGAGAAGAAGGAGGAGGAGGAGGAGGAGGAGGAGAAGAAGGAGGAGGAGGAGAAGAAGGAGGAGGAGGAGAAGAAGGAGGAGGAGGAGGAGAAGAAGGAGGAGGAGGAGGAGAAGGAGGAGGAGGAGAAGGAGGAGAAGGAGGAGGAGGAGGAGGAGAAGGAGGAGGAGGAGAAGAAGGAGGGGGAGGAGAAGAAGGAGGAGGAGGAGGAGGAGGAGAAGGAGGAGGAGGAGAAGGAGGAGGAGAAAGAGGAGGAGGAGAAGAAGGAGGAGGAGAAGAAGGAGGAGGAGAAGGAGGAGGAGGAGAAGGAGGAGGAGGAGAAGGAGAAGGAGGAGGAGGAGAAGGAGGAAGAGGAGGAGGAGGAGGATGAGAAGGAGGAGAAGGAGGAGGAGGAGGAGGAGGAGGAGGAGAAGGAGGAGGAGGAGGAGAAGGAGGAGGAGGAGAAGGAGGAGGAGAAGGAGGAGGAGAAGAAGGAGGAGGAGAAGGAGGAGGAGGAGAAGGAGGAGGAGAAGAAGAAGGAGGAGAAGAAGGAGGAGGAGGAGGAGAAGGAGGAGAAGAAGAAGAAGGAGGAGGAGGAGGAGAAGGAGGAGGAGAAGAAGGAGGAGAAGAAGGAGGAGGAGGAGGAGGAGGAGAAGGAGAAGAAGGAGGAGGAGGAGGAGAAGGAGGAGAAGGAGAAGAAGGAGGAGAAGAAGGAGAAGGAGGAGGAGGATGAGGAGGAGAAGAAGGAGGAGGAGGAGAAGGAGGAGGAGAAGGAGGAGGAGGAGAAGAAGGAGGAGAAGAAGGAGGAGAAGAAGAAGGAGGGAAGAAGGAGGAGAAGAAGGAGGAGGAGGAGGAGAAGAAGAAGGAGGAGGAGGAGGAGAAGGAGGAGGAGGAGAAGGAGGAGGAGGAGAAGGAGGAAGAGGAGAAGGAGGAAGAGAAGGAGGAGGAGGAGGGGGAGGAGGAGAAGGAGGAGGAGGAGAAGAAGAAAGAAGAGGAGAAGAAGGAGGAGGAGAAGAAGGAGGAGGAGGAGGAGAAGGAGGAGGAGGAGGAGAAGAAGGAGGAGGAGGAGAAGAAAAAGGAGGAGGAGGAGAACATAAGAATGGAGGAACACTGCAGAAGGCCTACTGGCTCATGCGAGGCAGGTCCTTATCAAAACGACTACTACCTAAAGCTTCCCTAGAAATAACTCCCGTACCCAATGACACCAATCAAACCCAGCCCCTCCCACTCATGTATTTGTCCAGTCTCTTCTTAAAGCTACCCAAGGTCCTAGCCTCTCTCACCCCACTGGGAAGAAAGAGGAGGAGGAGAAGAAGAAAGAGGAGGAGGAGAAGAAGAAAGAGGAGGAGGAGAAGAAAGAAGAAGGAGAAGGAGGAGGAGAAGAAGGAGGAGGAGGAGAAGAAGGAGGAGGAGAAGAAGAAGAAGGAGGAGGAGAAGAAGAAGGAGGAGGAGAAGAAAGAAGAAGGAGGGAAGGAGGAGAAGAAGGAGGAGAAGAAGGAGGAGGAGGAGAAGGAGAAGGAGGAGAAGAAGGAGGAGGAGGAGGAGGAAGAAGAAGAGGAAGGAGGAAGAAGAAGAAGAAGAGGAAGGAGGAAGAAGGAAGAAGAAGAAAGAAGAAGAGGAAGGAGGAAGAAGAAGAAGAAGGAAGAAGAAGAGGAAGGAGGAAGAAGAAGGAGGAAGAGGAAGAAGAAGAAGAGGAAGGAAGAAGAAGAAGGAGGAAGAAGAGGAAGGAAGAAGAAGAAGGAGGAGGAAGAAGAAAGAGGAAGAAGAAAAAGGAGGAATAGGAGGAGGAGGAGGAGGAGGAGGGGGGGAGGGTCGTCCTCCTCCTCTAGTTTGGAGACAGCACATTAATTAACTAACTACTTTTTAATTGGATGGAAATAAATGGTATAACATACCAACATGATGTAAAAAATAGACACAAATGATGTATAAGGTGATCCTTTATTGATAATGTTTTGCCCACACAGTGGGCTTTATTCAGTCACAAACAGATCTACCTGGACAGAGAGTACATGAGTATATACAGGAAGCATAGTAACCTGAAGAGTCAGGCAGGGAATTCTGAGGAGAAGTTGAATTTGAGAAGGACCTTTCCAGAATGGGCCATTAGGTTTGTTGCCATGTAGGATAATGACAGATGTTTCCTGGCAAGGGGTTCAGCTATGTTTTAAAAGCCATTGTTCTGGTTGAAATTGTTGGATATACAAATGAGTGATGATTCCAAGATCCTGTGAATCTCAGTATTCTCTTCCCTGGCGATGAGTCTTGCGTCTCTGTAGTTGATTAAATGATTGTGGAAGTTATGGTGTGAAACACAAGCATTCCTCAAATCGTGGATTAAAGCTGGTGTATCTAGGATTAAAATAAAAGAAATATAAATAGCTATTTTTCTTCTTTCAGGATCGAAATGCTTATGTGTGGACTTGTGGAGCAGATGGAAAATGGAGTCCCACTCTTGTACTTCTACGTATCAACCGTGCTGCCACGTGTGTTAAGTGGTCTCCTAATGGTCAGTAGTTGTTACGCTTCTATGGAATAAACCTATTTTCACTACATGGTGCATTGAGGCATCTGCAAAGAAAAAGAACATTATCCTTGGAGGCAAAAAGGGGAATGTATGAGAGTATGTATAGTGGTACCAACACACTTACATGGGTGTGAAGCATGGGTTGTGAATGTTGCAGCAAGGAGGAGGTTGGAGGCAGTGGAGATGTCATGTCTGAGGGCAATGTGTGGTGTAAATATTATGCAGAAAATTCGTAGCTTGGGGATTAGGAGGAGGTGCGGAGTTATTAAAAGTATTATCCAGAGGGCTAAGGAGTGGTTGTTGAGGTGGTTTGGACAAGTAGAGAGGATGATGCAAAATAAGATGACTTGGAGTGTGTATAAATCTGTAGTGGAGGGGAGGAGGGGTAGGGGTCATCTTATGAAGGGATGGAGGGAGGGTGTAAAAGAGGTTTTGTGTAAATAACAAAAAAAGGCACAATACCGTGACTGGAATGATACACAAATAACCCGCACATAGAAGAGAGGAGCTTACGACGACGTTTCGGTCCGACTTGGACCATTTACAAAGTCACACTAACCAGAAGTGGAGCAGGACGGCTATATATAAGCAGGAAGAGGTAGTGGTGGTAGTAGTAAAAGTAGTGGTAGTAGTAGTAATAGTAGTAGTATTAGTATTAGTAGTAGTAGTGGTAGTAGTGGAGAACTAAGGAGGAGGAGCCAGTCAAATATAAAGAAAGGGGAGCACTGCAAGGGAGCTTGGTGCCCATAGAGGGAGAGCAAGTGCACAGAGGTGGGGGGAAGGGGAAGTGATGAAATAAATAATGAAGGAACAGAAGCACGTGACAGAAGAAAGACAAAAAAGGAAAGAGGAAAGGGGAAGAAGGAGAAGAAGAAAAATGAGGAATCAGGTTAAGTCACGGGTGTTCTGAAGTTTGGAGCATTTTACAATGTAGTGGGAGAGGAAGGCATCTACAGAGACGAAGCCAGGACTAAGATTCATACAAGGAAAGTTGTGTATTAGAGAGGATTCAACAAGACGGCGACTGTTAAAGTTGGAAGTAGGGAAGACAGCTTTAGCAGAAGACCAGTCTATAGGATGGCTGTGATCTCTGACATGACAGAAAAGAGCATTGTTAGTGTCGGCAAGCCTAACACTATTTTTGTGCTCCCTAAGTCTGTCAGAAAGAGATCGGCCAGTTTCTCCAAAGTATTGAAGAGGACAGGAGGAGCAAGAAATTGAGTAGACACCAGGAGCAGGTATGAACAAGATTAGTGCGAAGAGTGTTAGTCTAGCGGAAAGTAAGCTTGATGTCTAAGGGACGGAGAGAATTGTTGAGATTAGAAAGACCAGAAATGTAGGGAAGGCAGAGGACAGAAGAGTTCCCAGGAGTAGAGAGTTTGGGAGAGAAGAAATTACGTGTGCAAGGGGCCTGGACATGCAGCAGGCAGGTATGTGTGTGTTAGATAGAGTGAATGGAGATGAATGGTTTTTGGGACCTTGTGAGCTGTTTGGATTGTAAGCAGGGTAGTATTTGGTGAAGAGATTCAGGGAAACCGGTTAGCTGGACTTGAGTCGTGTAGGTGGGAAGTACACTGCCTGCACTTTAAAGGAGGGGTTTGGGATATTGGCTGTCTGGAGGAACATCTAAACTGTTACATCTGGGTGCCTCTGCAAAGACAGTGATTATGTGTGAATATTGACAAAAGTGTTGAATGATGGTGAAAGTGTTTGTTTCTTTTTTGGGTCACCTGCCTTGGTGAGAGATGGCTGATATGTTGAAAAAAAAATTAATTTTTGATGATTTTCCTGAGGACAAGACTCATCTCCTCCCTGTCTGTTATACTGGTTTTTACAAGGTCTGCTTCAGTTATTTGAATACCTTAAATCATTACCAATCATTCCTGGTTATATCCGATTAGTAGGGTAAAACTCCAATTTTTTTGCATGACGAGGAATTCAAAATGAAAGGCAATTGCAATATAGGAGAGGCCTGGGGACATGATTAATAAACAGAAGATATGTTTTCACCATCATTCACACTATCATTGTCTTGCCAGAGGCCCGCAGATATGACAGTTTAGATGTCCCTCTGAACAGCCAATATCCCAAACCCCTCCTTTAGGGTGAAGGCACTGTACTACCCACCTCCAGGACTCAAGTTTGGCTTACCTGTTTCCTTGAATCCCTTCACATATTACTTTGCTGTATACATTAAATCCTTGGCATTATAGAAGCTATATAACCAGGTTGATGTTCCTGTTAGTAGTTCATGGAAACATCCATAGGAAATAGTTTTCATTTTTAGAACCTAAGAATGAAAACTATGTGAATACAGTGGTACCTTGAGTTATGAGCAGCTCCCAACTCGAACCGTTATGTAAGTGTATTTTTGTAAGTGCTTTTGTAAGTGTATTTATGGGGGTATAAAACGGATTAATCTAATTTTCATAATTTCTTATGGGAACAAATTCGTTCGGTATTGGCACTCGAACAGCCTTCTGGAACGAATTAAGTTTGTAACTCGGGGTACCACTGTATTTATTTGCAGTGTTATCATTACTGTAGATTGGTAAGTGTTCTATGTTGCATCTTTTGTTGTCTTTAGATACTTGTACCTCTTTTCATAGTCATGTAGAGTACGTGTAGTCTGGTTGTTATTGTTCTTCAAGAGTTTCAAGATCCAGCCTTTTGCTTCAGAAAAAATTAATTATCTCTTTTCGTATAACCAACAGAAAACAAGTTTGCTGTAGGATCAGGAGCACGACTGATATCGGTGTGTTACTTTGAGCAGGAAAATAACTGGTGGGTATCAAAGCACATCAAGAAGCCCATCAGGTCCACTATCACCACCTTGGACTGGCATCCCAATAACATTCTTCTGGCTGCAGGAGCTGCTGATTTTAAGGTAGTAATTGTTTATGTGATTCCCTATTTGCAATTTCCTATTTGTGATTATTTATTTGTAGATAATGGAGTAGATCTATGATTGTGGTGTGCTGTTTCCAGTGTTAAATTTTCCTTATAATTTTGTTAAGTTTGTAGTGGTTGTACCACATATTACTGCCTCATTAATATCTCAGTTTTCTTCCAGTGTTTGTGAAGACAGACTTTACACTTGCAATTTGTCAAAGTCTTTTCTTTTGCAGTTGTTGCCGCCTGTTCTTCCTCTCTCTTGCCATTTCTTCTTTTATGCAATCATTCTAACTTTTTTTCTAATTCTTTAGTTATTCACTTTTTGTTATGTATTCTTTCTCAGTGTACCCAAAATTAATGATTGCTATGTGTCTGTCTGCAGCTTATGTACATAACCAAAGGTTATTTACAGTGCTTTTCTTGATCTCACTACTCAGGTTTGTACTACTGGTCATTCCTTTTGATTTATATCTTTGCTTTACTAATTCTATGCTCTGATTTTCTCCTGTTCATCTCATTTATATTTATTTGTTTGATTCAACCTTTTTGAATCACTGTTGTATTTCCTAATTTCTTTATATTGCTCCTCTCTTTTCACAAATCTAGAACTTCCTGGCCACTTTAAGCTTATTAAGCATTCTCCTACCCTCCATTTTCTTTCTTGATTCACTCTTTTTGTGGGTGTGCCCTGCAGCTCAAGTCATCCACAGTTCTCCTCAACATAGACAACACTAGTACTAGTGATAAGTTTTCACCCACCAGGTAGACTTGTATGTATATTATACCAGGGTCTGTGATAGATTTATAGTATGTGGATGAGGGGAATAGCTTTTTATTATGATTAGCACATTCGACATAGACAACCTGCTTCTAGTGTTGTTTCAGATTTAGGAAAGATGGTGAAGAAATGCATAGAAGTGCAACAACTCTGTTGACCCTGTGTTTTGGTAGTTTCCTCTGCTCCATTAACAACCAAACAAAGGGTCAGCAGTGGTGAAACCTTTGTGGAGAAGATCAAGGCTATGTAGTTCAGCTTCTTGGTGGTTTTGATCATATAGACACTCAAGTAGGCTCTCTGCATGTAGAGACTCTCTGATTCTTAGGGGATGGGGGGAGCAGGGCCCTTCCAATTTCCTGCATTTATTGCAGGAGATTCACCAGTACAGTAATTCTTGATTTATTGATTGAGAGAGAAATAACATGTTTTATTCACTCAAGTCTTTCTCCTGAGCCTTAGTACTTGTACCTAGTGCATTTTCTAGGTTAACTATTCAGGCCACGAAGCTCTGTGGACATTTGTGAATTCCTCGTATGTTCATATTGATCTTTGGGCTCAGTCATTAATGGGTCATCCATGTGTTTTTACTGCCTTGGCATCTAGTTGTAATTATGCTTTCTGTGGATCATAATGTTCAGGAAAGGAATCTGCCCATCCTCTTCCTCCTTCATAGACTTGATAAGGGGCTCCACTCTGTTAATATTGCTGAGGAGTTTAACAGTGTTTAGGTATGTAGGAGAAAGTTGTCATACTGGGGATGATGAATAGTGTCACTAAGGTTGCATATATTTATATATAGAAATAAATTATCATGATTTGCCAGAGAATACTAAAATTAGCTAGAATGATCAGAAGACTTGTAAATTCTGGCAGTCTCTTGGGATGGGAATGCAACATTAAACAATTGTAGATTTTTTTTTACTTGAAGCAGTATTGGTGCCAGTTACATTATTTACCATATGTGTGTATTTAGTTGTATCCACTAAATTTTTTTCTGTGACAGGTGCGCATATTTTCTGCATGGATTAAAGACATTGAGCCCAAGCCAACTCCAACTCCCTGGGGTGCAAAAATGCCTCTAGGCCAGTTAATGACGGAATTTTCTAACTCTACTGGAGGAGGTAAGCATAAGGTTGTTATTTATTTATAGAGATACATAACATATTATTTGCATGTAGTGAACTTTGTCAAATAAATCGAGGAAATCAAAGACTTGCTTATTTGTATATTAGGGAGGAGGATAGTGTGTCAGGTGAAGTTGGAGAAGTGACCAGTGCATCAGACACCTGATGTCGGTTCCTTTTTGTTGACTATGTTGTAGTTGAGGTGGAAAGCTAAACTGAAAGCCCCTCTGCTTCTATGAGCAGTGTTTACAATCATAATTAAAGCCACCTCTAAACACTTTGTACTGGTATGGCTTACGTTACTGATATCGAGTTCAGTCTGTTCCCAGTCTATAAAACATTAGACATTTTTTTGTTTGCACCACATAAATATTGTTTTTGTTGTTAATGTGTCACGCATATTTGTGTTTAACACAGCTCTTTAAGTCTCTCCTTGTTTCCCTTTATGTATAATTTCTCACAGCTGTTAAAAGGGTTGGTAGGAACCTAAGATAAGTTGTTCTGAATGACTGTCAATGAATGAACAGAAGCCTGGTTGGAGACTTGAACTGTGGTCCATATTATTACAACCCAGGAGTCTCAAAGGCCTGTTATTCTGGGTGTAAAGGGAGCAAAATAAACACAGTAAAAAAACTTTTGACTTGTATTATCCTTCAATTTAGAATAGAAGTATGTACACTATATACACTATGTACAACAATAGGTATTAGTGCACCCCACGGTAAGCAAGGCAGAATAGAAGCCACTATAGAGCAGACCATGCTTCAACCAGCTCTAGAATGGGAATGACAAGGGCAGACAGGTGAGTGATACCCACATCACCTCTGCAATTGCCAAAACCATCTTCTCATTGGCTGGAACCTGTGTACTGATTGAACGACGGGGCCCCATTGTTAACCCTTAGCACCTGGTTCGCTGGTTGGAGAAGATAGCCTTTGAATGAGGGTGTGTACATGCGCCGAATAAAGATTATGTACTCTTTGCATGCCACACCCCCACCCCGAGAGGGCTCAGGATTAGGTTCCCACCTCCCAGTGGTAACCGTGCACCAAAATAATGGCACCAAATAATGGGACCGTCTTTCCTCTCAACCATCCAACTCTTAGATAGAGCTCAGCTTTATTTGTGACAAAAAGCCAAACCCTAAACTCAGAGCGAGACAGCAGACAGCCGGGCTAGAATAGGTCCAAAGTGCGGGAGGACGGTATCCCACACTCCCTCACTAAAAAAAACCCCACACCAGGGGATAAAAAAAAAGAGCTTGAAAGGGGTTACCACAGGTAACCTAACACATCCTAACCTAATATACAATTATAATTATAATATAGAGTAACATTGTTAGACTCTAGATAAAGAGTCTGCCAACTTATTTTCTTTGCCGGCAATGTGTAGTATTCTGAGAGAATAGGGTTGCAGTCATAGACTCCATCTCATGAGCCTCATATTGTGGTTCTTCATGGCTTGGAGATGTACTAGAGGGTTGTGGTCGCTATAGACAGTGACCACCTGCAAAGTCTGGCCCACGTAAACATCAAAGTGCTTCAAAGCCAGTACCAGGGCGAGGGCTTCTTTTTCGATAGTAGAGTAAGTCCTCTGGTGCAGCTGGAACTTTATAGAAAAGAAGGCTACAGGCTGCAACTCCTTGTCCCCGTTTTGCACCAGTACTGCCCTAACCCCAGACTCGCAAACCTCAACCTGTAATGAAAAAGGTTTGGAGAAGTCTGGAGACAAAAGAATGGGTGCAGTACACATTAATCTTTTTGCTTTATCAAAAGCACCTTGACAATCTGAGGTCCAATTAAAGGGAACTTTGTGACTGGTAAGAGAGGTAAGAGGCACTACAATATCTGAAAAATTCTTACAGAATCTTCTGTAAAATCCTATCATGCCAAGGAAACGGAGAGATTTCCTATCATGTGGAACTGGATAATCTTTAATGGCAAGAACTTTAGCAAATTTAGGAGCAACGTTGCCACTACCTACTTCATGGCCTAGAAAAGTAACAGTGGCCTGGCCAAAGGAAGACTTAGATAAATTAACAGTTAAATGGGAACTCTGAAAGGTCTCAAAGAGAGCCTTAAATCTTACTAGGTGTTGATCCCAAGTATCAGACACCACTATGATATCATCCAGGTATGCTGCCGTGCCTTCAAGTCCTTTAATAGCCTGATGGATAAGTTTCTGGAATGAAGAGGGGAAGTTTTTCATTCTGAAGGGGGTAACTGTATATTGATAATGACCTCCTGGAATTACGAAGGCAGAGATTTCCTTCGCCTTATCCGTCAAAGGTACCTGATAGTAACCTTTAACCCTTTTGGGGTTTTGGCCGTACTAGTACGGCTTACGCACCAGGGCCCATGACATACTAGTACGCATAAATTCTAGCGCCCTCAAATCTAGCGAGAGAAGGCTGGTAGGCCTACATTTGGAAGAATGGGTCTATGTGGTCAGTGTGCACAGTATAAAAAAAATCCTGCAGCACACAGTGCGTAATGAGAAAAAAAAACCTTTGACTGTGTTTTTGGTTTAAAACCGACTTGGCACTGTATTTTCGTATGGTATTTATGGTTGTATTCTAGTTTTCCTGGTCTTATTTTATAGAATGGAAGACATATTACAGAAATTCAGATGATTTTGATTGGTTTCACAATGAAAAGTACCTTGAAATTGAGCTCAAAGTAGCAGAAATGTTTGATTTTTCCCAAGTTCAAAAGTAAACAAATCATGCCACGTGTCCAATACACATCAACTGGTGAATCTAATATTCTTTCACAAGTGCGCTGGTATTATTTATAACATTTCTACACTAATACAGTAGTCTGCATAACAGTAAATCTTCTATAATTTGTGAGAATAAAAATTCAAAGTGGAAAGCAAAAGAAATATAAGAGGGGCATGGGGATGTGACTAATGAACAGAGGAAATGTTATTTTAGTACCAGGAATGTCTTGTTTATTCTGGACCATATTTGGAAATTGGCATCTTTTGAAATTTGTGTGAAATTGGCAAAATTGCTAAATTCTGACCACTTTATTGAATAGTTGAAATCGGTAAATGGGTAGTTTCTTGTACTCATTCGATAGAAAAAACGGAGTTCCAGCGAAATAGTTATGATTTTTGTCGACGAGTACACTGGAATTGGCCGAAAATAGGGCTCAAAGTAGGCAAAATCACCGATGCGTAAACATCGTCGAGACCGCGAGAGCATAACTCCATGAGTTTTCCATCAAATTTCATATTTTTGGTGTCATTGTGATCGGGAAAAGATTCTCTGTCTTTTCGTAAGAAAAAATAATTTTTTTTTTTTTTTTTTGAAATTTTGGCGACCCTGAGAACAAGTCTCTGAGAGGGCCTGGCGACCCTCAAAGGGTTAAGGAGATCTAACTTGGACACAAAAGTAGCCTTACCCACAAAGTCGATTATGTCATCTAGACGAGGAAGAAGGGAAACATCTGTGATTGTGACCTCATTCACCTTACGGTAGTCTGTACACATATGAAAACCTCCATCAGCTTTTTTAACAAGGATGCACAGTGAAGCCCATGGACTAGATGACTCCTCCACTAACCCATGCTCTAACAGAAATTCTACCTCCTGCTGAAGTAGCTTCTGCTTTTCAGGATTAGCTCTGTAGGGGGAGAGTTTAATAGGTTTAGAGTTTCCCACATCTATGTCATGATAACCTAACGTACATTTTTTCGGCACATCCAAAAAAATATCAGATTATGACTGTAGAAGCGCAGTTAAACTTGTTGCTTGAGTTTCAGATAGCCCCACCATTAAAGGGCTAGGGTCCTTGAGGAGGACATAGTTTGGAAGCTTGACATTAATTTCAGAAATAGAGGGCAAAGAGTCAGAGTCATCCTCAGAGGTAGAGGACAGAGTCATTACTGGGACTTTATCTGGTATATGAAAAGATTTTAATTGATTAATGTGGTAAGTTTTAGTTTTTGAGGTCTTATCAAGGGAAGATACCACATAATTTACATCAGATAATTTACTTACAATTTGCATAGGCCCCGTAAATCTAGCTTTCAAGGTGTGGCCAGGTATAGGTTCCTGCACCAACATCGTGTCTCCTGGATGGAAGGAGCGGAATTGTGCATTTCTGTCATACCTCTATTTCATCTTATTTTGAGCTGCCTTTAGGTTAGCCTTGGCTAACTGACGTGCCACCTGCAACCTTGAAGACGGGTTGGAGAGTGTTGAGCTAACATCTTCTCCCATCCATCCTTCTTAGAGCACCTGAAGAGGACCTCGTACATTGTGCCCAACGATCAGCTCAAACGGACTATACCCGATAGACTCCTGCACAGTTTCTCTTATTGAAAACAGCAACAAAGGTAGTGATTCATCCCAGTCTGTAGGAAAATGCATGCAAAAAGTTCTCATCGTGGTTTTTAACGTCTGATGGAATCGTTCCCAGGCGCCTTAGGTCTGAGGATGATAGGCAGTGGATAAGTTGTGGATTATCCCTAACCTAGTTAATTCTTCCCTGAATGCTTTGGCAGTGAAGTTAGTACCTTGATCACTTTGAATAGTTTTAGGAATGCCAAAACAAGATATAAATCTGGTTAAAGCCTTGAGAATACCTTTAGTATTAATATTGCGCATGGGAATTGATTCAGGGTATCTAGTTACTCTATTCATAATGGTAAATAAGTACTGATTTCCGGACTTTGACCTAGGTAGTGGACCTACATGATCTATAATTAAATCTGCAAAAGGTTCTCCATCAGCAGGTATAGGTTGAAGAGGTGCAGGTTTAATGGAATGTCCAGGTTTCCATACTTGCTGACATTCTCGGCAACACTGGATATGATTCTTCACATCCTGCCTTAATTTTGGCCAATAAAATTCTTTTGTGATTCTGTATAATGTTTTAGTAATTCCTAGGTGACCTCCTAATGAAGTATTATGAGCTATATTCAATATTTGAGATCTAAACTTTGTTGGAACCACTAACCTGTCTGACAGTTGCCGGCCCTCTATCTCCTTACCAGTCTTAGTGCAGATCAAATAGTCGTTTTTAAGTTTATACTTGACCGGATGATCCAAAAAGGATTTACCTATGGCTGCCTGAAAAGCGAAATTCAAAGAAGGGTCCTTTTGTTGTTCCTCCCAGAAGGGCAGTCCCTCGGGCATGGAAACAGAGATATCTGGCAATCCTGCTACCCTGGAATAGGAAGGCTTGATCTAGGTCTGTTCACTTGATCTACGAGGCCCTGGCCAGTTTTCCTCGTAAAACAAATTGGCTATTCCGAGATCGGAGTCATCCAAGGATAGGTCAGCATTCTCGCCAGACAACCCTTGGGATGTTGCCCGAGTTATGGCCAACACCGGAGAAGAATTAATCATTATGGGTTCAGGACATACACTAGCAGTGGTAATGTTATTACCCAGTAATAACATGGCATCTTTCATGGGGAATCCCTCGGATACACCCACAGTCAAGTATCCAGTGTAATATTTGCACTGTACATAAATTCTATGCAAGGGGACAGAAAATATTGCTCCTCTGAATGCTTCCAGCAAAACAGAGGATTGCAGGGAGGTGTTCTTGGAAAGGGGAAGTACTCCCTCTCTTATAAGTGAGCAATATACTCCAGTATCTATAAAGGTTCTGACTTCAATTGTTTTTGAGTCTTCCTGAAAGGCAATATGACTCTGACAGTAATAAGGGGCCATCCCTTTCTCTACTTCTTTCAGGGACATGTTACTAGGGATATTATAGATTTTCCCTATGGGTTGGGGCTTGTTGGGGCAGTTGGGACGGATGTGACCTACTTTGTTACAAAGGAAGCAGACGACAGGCTTGCCCTTAACTCCCTGCTGATGTTGCAACTGGTGTCGCTCTGGCTGGTGTCTCTCTGGATATTGTTGTCGAGTTGCACCATGTTGAGTGGTTTGTCTCTCACCAGGTGGACCATAAGTTGAGTAGCGTGGCTCACTAGGTGACTTAGTTGGCTGACGTAGATGTTCTCCCTCCGGCTGGCACTTCATCCTCCAAGGTTGACAATCTCTGCTCATGCCAGGCTGTTGAAAAGAGAGATGGGACCACTTGGACAAGGAGCGGTTAGTTTCAAAGGTATCAGCCAACCTGGCTGCCTCCAATGCAGTGGTTAAGTCATGATCCTGCAGAAAGACTTTAACCTCTGGTCCCACAGACTCCAGCAGGTTGTTAACCAGAATAAGCTGCACGAGATCATCGAAAATAGCAACACCACTTGCTTTATACCAGCTGGTAAAAGCTTTGGTCTGCTGTAGCACAAAATCAACCAGGGATTGACCAAGCTGCCGTCTGCCTAATTTAAACGACTTTCTGTACTTAGCTGGGATACATGTATATGCTCCCAAAACTGTGGTCTTAACTACTTTATAATCAGAAAAATCAGTGTCATTTAACACTGACTTAAATTCCTGTGCCTTACCAAACAATGCTGGTGAACCAACGACACCCAATGCTGTTCCGGCCACCTGAAGGCTCGAGCCTGATTTTCGAAAGTTTTGAAAAATTGTTCTGGTTCTGCCTCATTGAAGCGGGGGACCAGCTGTACTGCTTTCTGTAAACTAAAGTCATTTACAACTTGCGAAAACTGCCTTCTTTCTTTTTCCCTATCAAACTCTTCCTTGGCAAATGCCCTCTGTTCCCTAGTCTGCTCAAGATTGATTTTTGCCAACACGAGTGCCAACGCAGCTGATTCGCTTTCAGACAACCCTGTTGCATGAGACTGACGATTGATGCTCTGTTGATGTATGATCTTCCTCCTGCGAGAATATCGGGGTTTTATTCCTAGCTCCCGTAGAGGGAGGAGTCTGATGTGCCATCTCCTCTTCCCAAAGTTTGTCGGTGATCAGTGAACGCGGTTGTGCAGCTGTGAGAGTGCATTCGTAATCAATGCCAATGGAACGAGCAATTTGCCAACAACGCTTTAGGGACAGTTTAGGCAAGTTAAATAAAGTATATTTATTTATTTATTTATTTATTTATTTATTAATTTGAACATGATACAGAGAAGTACAAGGAATACAATTTTTAAAGTGCAGCATGCCAAAGCCCCTTGTATGCAGAGCATTATGGGCAGGCTTAAAATTAACTTAAGATTAACTAAGCAATGATATATTCAGTGGTACAAAAATTATTGTAAAACAGATAACAATTTAGTACAAATGAGTATTACAAAGACAGGTCATATGGTCATTTACTGTGTTGCTGTGTAATCAGTAGAATGGAGTATTCTGTTAGGTAATGAAGTTAAATAGTAACAAAGTTTGATTGGGTCACAGGTTAACATTTATGAGATACAATAATGAGATACATATATGAGATACAATTTATGAGATACAGTTATTCAGTATTTATTTAGTTGTGGGTGAGTAAGTGATTTTTGAGAAGAGACTTGAATTTATAAACAGACAGTGTTTCTTTTATATTCAAAAGGTAATGAATTCCAGATTTTAGGGCCTTTTATGTGCATTGAGTTTTTGCATAGTGTGAGATGGACACAAGGAACATCAAAGAGTGATCTGTGCCTTGTGTTATGGTCATGTGTTCTGTTGAGGTTGGTAAGGAGATGTTTGAGGGGAGGGTTTATGTCAGAGTTAAGTGTTCTATGTATGTAATAGGTGCAGTAATAAGTATGGATGTTTTGTATTGTGAGTAGGTTTAGAGTTTTGAATATTGGTGGAGTGTGCTGTCTGTAGTGGGAATTTGTTATCATTCTGACTGCAGTCTTTTGTTGGGTGATTAGTGGTCTGATATGGTTTATTGTTGTTGAGCCCCATGCACAAATTCCATAGGTGAGATAGGGGTAAATAAGTGAGTGATATAGGGCCAGGAGGGCTGACTGTGGAACATAGTACCGTATCTTCGATAGTATGCCTACGGTCTTGGAAATTTTGGGGGAAATTTGTTGTATATGTGTTTGAAATTTGAGTCTATTATCAAGGTGGATTCCTAGGAATTTTCCCTCTGTGAGTTTTGTGATAGGTGATCCATTTATCATTATGTTAAGAGACACATCTGCAGCTCTGTTACCAAACTGAATGTAGTAGGTTTTGTCAATGTTTAGAGTAAGTTTGTTGGTCCTTATCCAAGTTGATATTTTCTGTAATTCGGTATTTACAGTATTGGCTAGCATGACAGGGCTCGGGTGAGAGTAGACGTATGTAGTGTCATCTGCAAATAGTGTGGGTTTGAGTAGTTGCGATGCATTTGGTAGGTCATTTATGTATATGAGAAAGAGAAGAAGGCCTAGGACACTTCCCTGTGGGACACCAACTGTAATTGGCTGTGCAGAAGAGTTTGCCCCATTTGTGTACACATATTGGCTTCTGTTGCTGAGGTATGACTTTAGGTAGTTGAGGGAGGGCCCTCTTATACCATAGTGCGACAATTTTATGTTGAGCAAGTCGTGGTCAACTGTATCGAAAGCTTTATGTAAGTCATTGAAGATCCCCAGTGGGACTTCTTTTTTCTCTATTGCTGTATAAATATGTTCCAGCATGTGGATAATAGCATCAATAGTATTTTTATTAGGCCTGAACCCAAATTGACAGGGGTTGAGTATGTTGTGAGAGATGAGGTAGGAATAGATACGCTTATGGATTAATTTTTCAAAGATTTTAGAGAGAGGGTGTAAGTTGGATATTTGCCTATAGTTATTCAAGTCTGTGTGGTCTCCTCCTTTATGGATCGGGGTGACCCTTGCTATTTTGAGAACTGTAGGAAAGGTTCTGACTCGTCTAGGTGGCATACCCCAATGTATAAGTTATTTGCTATACACAGTACGATTGCAGAATACCCCAACGTAACACGTTATTTGCAGAACACACTTAGCTATGCACAGTACGATTGCAGAATACCCCAATGTAACACGTTATTTGCAGAACACGCTTAGCTGTGCACAGCACAGCTGCAGAATACGCACATATGCTTGCAAGGTGGATACACAATAGCAAAGCTGACTGCAAAATCTTCACACAAGATTGACCGTAGCGAAGCGAGCACACCGAACAAGCTAGTAGTGAGCTGTTGAACGATCATACAATAGCAAGGCTAACCATAGCAAGGCAATTGACACACAAAGTTTGTAAAGCATTGGCAAAGCTAATGCAATGCCAGACAGCAAGCTACACAATGTTCCTGCTTCCAGCGTCACCCTAGGCTCAACCCGTGCTCTAAGTCCAGCTCCAGATCCCGGACAGGCCCCCATATTACAACCCAGGAGTCCCAAAGGCCTGTTATCCTGGGTGTAAAGGGAGCAAAATAAACACATCCTAGCCAGGCTAGGTGTCCTAGTGGCCCCCTCTGTAATTAGTATTTTATAACATGTAAACCACACAATACCCAAAACCTGTAAACCCCACATTGTAACCCTTATAGAGAATAAACTTGAATTGAATTGAATATACACTATGTATAACAATAGGTATTAGTGCACTCCACGGTAAGCAAGGCAGAATAGAAGCCACTATAGAGCAGACCGTGCTTCAACCAGCTCTAGAATGGGAATGACAAGGGCAGACAGGTGAGTGGTACCCACATCACCTCTGCGATTGCCAAAACCATCTTCTCATTGGCTGGAACCTGGGTACTGATTGAACAACGGGGCCCCATCATTAACCCTTAGCACCTGGTTCACTGGTTGGGGGAGATAGCCTTTCAATGAGGGTGTGTACATGCGCCGAATAAAGGTTACGTACTCTTTTCATAGCCAGCCCAATGCTTGGATGATTTTACAACCTGCACAACTATAAATTGGTTGGATCAGCAGCACCAACTGTGACTCCACAGCACCAGAGGCTTTCCTGGTACATAAATTCTCATAACCCTCAAAGCCATATAGTCCATAAATCCAAGATAAGTCATGATGAATGATTGTCAGTGAGTAAACAGAAGAATGACTGGGGACATGAACCATGAAGCAGAGCAGGGTGATGTTACTGGGTATGATGTTAGCCAGATGGTTGCTAAATGTTCCGAGTGCAGCACCGAGGAATGATCCCATTGCCATGCCTCATTTTTATTGGTAGAATATGGACTTGATAGTGAAGAAATTAAACCTTATGCAAATCTTTACCAGTTGTATGTTGTCCTGGGGCAGGAGGAGGAGGAGGCCCATATGTGGCAAGACATGATAGAAACTGCTTAATCTGTTCTGTGGCATCTTGATTGAACACAAAAGTAGAAAACTCACCAATTTCTTGTTTCATGTAGTGATATCATCAAGTCTGACAAAAGTGTCTCTGAGTGCTTGAGGTGTGAAGGACTTATTTTTCTTGAACATCTCAATAGCTTTCTAGCAGATTTCCCTGCTAGTTTGTGTGGTGCACTTCTTATGGGATGTGATGGGGGTCAATGTCCCCGTGGCCCAGTCTGTGACCATGCCTTTTGTTGGATCAGGGCCTGATCAACCAGGCTGTTACTGCTGGCCACACGTAATCCAACACATGAACCACTGCCTGGCTGGTCAGGTACTGACTTTAGGTGCCTGTTCAGTGCCTGCTTGAAGACAGCCAGGGGTCTCTTGGTAATCCCCCTGATGTATGCTGGGAGGCAGTTGAACAGTCTTGGGCCCCTGACACTTATTGTGTTGTCTCTTATCAGGCTAGTGGCACTCTTGCTTTTCATTGGGAGGATGTTGCACCGTCTGCCGAGTCTTATGCTTTCATAGGGAGTGATTTTCATGTGCAAGTTTGGTACTAGTACCTCTAGGATTTTTCAGGTATATATATAATCATGTATCTCTCCCTCCTGCATTCTAGGGAGTACAGGTTTAGGAACTTCAAGCGTTCCCAGTAATTGAGGTGGTTTATAGCAGTTATGCGTGCTGTGAAGGTTCTCTGTACATTTTCTAGGTCAGCAATTTCACCTGCCTTGAAAGGTACTGTTAGTGCGCAGCAATATTCCAGCCTAGATAGAACAAGCGACCTGAAGAGTGTCATCATGGGCTTGGCATCCCTGGTTTTCAAGGTTCTCATTATCCATCCTGTCATTTTTCTAGCAGATGCGATTGATATAATGTTATGGTCCT